TGATACAGTGATATATATTTAGTTTTGGTACATTTTTTCCTCCCTATAATTTTTGCTTTGTTTTGGCGGAGGTTCACACCAGGCTATACTCATGACACACTTCTGGCTATTTATTCAGAATCACTCCTGGAAATGCTCAAGGAACCACAAATGGTACCAAGGATCAAACCTGGGTAAGATGTGATCAACACAAGTGTACTATCTTTCAGGCTCTCTGCACTACCTCTCTAACCCTTCCTTTTTATTTTCTTAATAGCATATACCTTTTCTAACTTAATCCTGAGAATATACCTATACTCAACATTATGCATATTATATAATATGATATAATAGGATAATAAACTCTGTTCTTGGTAAAACTCATGATCATTAATAGGCTTTTGGTAGTTAGGTTTAAGGAGAGTCAACAGATATTCACAGATTGGAGTCTGTACACTGGTCAATGTCTCTGATCCTTTCGTAAGGTAAAGGGTACACTGTATGTATTTTTGTGGATGAACTACTAGTGAACATAGAAAATTTGTAACTAGCATTTTGTATAATGTGGTGCAATATTAATAACTGGTGTCTTTCACTCAACTTCAGATATAAGAAAAAGGAAGAAGCAGCTATCCATGTGTTACTCCACGGTTCATGCATATTGTGAAGCTAAAGGCAGGTGACTATAGTATAGATTTCCAAGTGCTTCAGATTTTGTTTGTAATTTATTTTACTGGAACATAACTGACATAATAGCATATATTTATAATTAATGTATCTTCCTTTATGCCAGCTACCAGAAGTTTATATTGAAAATAGGAACTTAACATAACCACATGAATAGGTGACATGGGGAGGCTACAAGCAGAAAACAATAAAAAAAATTAAAAAGCTATCTGTTGAGTTTGAATACATGCAATGAGCTAGTTCTTCAAGGGCCATACACCATGACTTCCAAGGCATTTCACCCAGGTATACTGAGCACATTCTTTCCACAGACTGCTCTGCTGGAGGTTGTCTGAGCTTAGATGGAAAGATGAGCACCAGCGTAAGATTTGTCAAGGCCCAAACATGATCACCTCTCAGTAACTGTATTGCAAACCATGATGCCCCAAAGTAGAAAGAGAGTAAGAAGGAAGGTATCTGCCGCAGAAGCAGGGGGTGGGATGGGGTGGGGTAGAGGGAGAGATACTGGGGACATTTGGTGATGGAAAATGTGCACTGATGGAGGGATGGGTGTTTGATAATTTTATGACTGAAACCCAATCATGAAAACTTTTTAACTGTATCTCAATGATTTATATATGTATATTTAGATAATCTATATTTATATATTAATACATATATTTTTAACTATATCTCACAGTGGTTTTATATTATATATTGTTTTATATATTATCACAACAAGCTCCCGGGAGAGCACAAGGCAGAGTCTCCTACCCTGTGTCTGACTATCCTCACCAGGGCCCAACAGCTGAAGACCTGCAGGCCCCAACCAAGGCCTTACTGGGGCCACTCTCCACACACTTGGATAAGCCTCAGACATAACAGAACTGGCAGAGGAACCCAGGTGTGTGGGACCCGGGGCTGAGATCTCCAAGCCTGCACGGTTTGGGACTGGACCTGTCAGTAGCTAGACAGTTACACCCTCCAACTGCCATGTAAACCCAACAAAGGCCAGGATCCAGAGATTATGACAACAAGCTCCCGGGAGTGCGCGGCCTGCGGCCGTGCGACTATTTATTTACTTTTCTCTAAATTTTCAGGGTACCTTAAATATCCTTAAATATCCAACCCGCACGGCAGAGCCTGGCAAGCTATCCGTGGTCTATGCCAAATAGACCAAATTGATATGCCAAATCCAGTAATAAATGGATCTCATTTCCCTAACCCTGAATATGCAGAGTCGAGAAGGATATGGAAGGAGAGGCTGATAAAACACCAAGGCAGACATAGGCTACCAAAACGCAGAAAAACAAAAATGATTGTCTGTACTTTTAATGCTCGTACCCTGGCATCTGCTGCATCCATTGAAGACCTTATGGTACAAGCACGAAAGATCAAGTACGACATCATTGGTCTGACCGAAACGAGAAGACATCAATTCCATCATGCTGTTTTCGACACTGGAGAAGAACTGTTCCTTGGAACATGTGATAAAAGAGGCGTCGGTGGTGTCGGTATCCTTGTCAACACAAACTTAGTCACGAACATTGATTCATTTGAATGCCTAACAACCCGAATCGGACGATTACACTTGAATAAATGTGGCTCACTACCGGCAGTTTCTATCTTTGTTGTCTATGCACCAACATCCAGTTATGGTGAAAGAGAAACTGAGAAATTCTACATGGAGCTGGAGAAATTCTATAAAGAAGATCACACCTTCTACAAGATCATTGTCGGTGATTTTAATGCCAAGATAGGACCAAGAAGATCAGTCGATGAACTCCACATCGGAACCCATGGCCTGGAATGGAACGAACAGGGTGACAGACTGTCTGAGTTCATCATGTCAACCAAAACCTTCCATGGTAACTCACAATTCCAAAAGGCTGAATCTAAACGTTGGACATGGGAGTTTCCCGATGGACGGTTCCACAATGAAATAGACCACATCATATTCAATCGGCAGTTTTGCCTAACCGATGTTGCTGTTGTCCCAAAATTCCAAACGGGATCAGACCACCGTCTTCTTCGTGCAAAATTCTACCTCACAGAACGAGGAGAAAAGAATGCAAGGTTTAAGAAGAGGACTCCCAGAACAACCACCAACTGGGAACTCTTTGGCTCTGTTGCGGCAACATGGGAAGATGCCGTCATTGACAACATTGATGAGGAATACGATCGAATGATTCAGCACCTCCATGATTGTGCAAGGAATGCCAAGAAAGAGAGATAACCACAAAAAACCGTTTTTCTTCGAACACTCTTGAATTTATTCACCAACGTGGCTTGGCACGTGCCTCAGGCAACCACAAGCAAATGTCCAAACTGGCTAAACAGTGCAGAGAAGCCATCAAGGATGACCTCAAAAACAGGAGAGCAGCAGTACTGGTAGATGCAGCAGAAGCTGGGAAAAACATTCGTAATGCCCGCCTGTCCTTCACCAACTACAAAACCAAGATGACTGCCCTCCGACATCATGATGGATCTATCACATCTTCCAGAAGGGCAATGGAGAAGATTATTCATGACTTCTACTCAGATCTCTTTAATAGCCACATCCACTTGCCCACATATCACATACCACATGATGGATATGTCGTTCCCAATGTTCTCCCTTCTGAAATCCAACATGCCATCTCGTCGGTAAAGAAACAAAGAGCACCTGGCCCAGACAAGATCAGACCTGAACACCTGAAGAACTTACCATCAGTACTCATCAATACATTGGCTCGACTCTTCACACGCTACCTGTCTGAATGCAAGGTTCCATCCCAATGGAAAACCAGCAAGACTGTACTACTATACAAGAAAGGAGACATCCACGACATTGGCAACTATCGCCCAATCTGCCTATTGTCTGTCATCTACAAACTATTCACTCGAGTCATCCTGAATAGGATTAGCAGAACACTAGATGAAGGACAACCATGTGAACAAGCTGGATTCCGAAAAGGATTCATCGACCATATTCACACAGTAACCAAGCTCATTGAGGTATCTCGGGAGTTCAAGATGCCACTCTGTCTAACGTTCATTGATTTAAAGAAGGCCTTTGATTCTGTTGAAACGGAAGCGATCATAGAAGCCCTAGCCAATCAGGGCGTACAAACTCAATACATCAGGATCCTTCGTGAGCTCTATTGCGGATTCACTACCAAGATCTCACCATTCTACAAAGAAGTAATCATCCATATCAAGACAGGGGTTCGGCAGGGTGATACCATTTCACCAAAACTCTTCAGTGCCACCCTCGAGAACATCATGCGACAACTGGAATGGGAAAACATGGGAGTGAAGATAGATGGTCGGCAACTACACCACCTCCGCTTTGCTGATGACATCGTTCTAATAACACCAAACATCAACCAAGCAGCACAAATGCTGAACGACTTTGACGGTGAAAGTAGAAAGGTCGGACTACAGCTGAATCTTGCGAAGACAATGTTTATGAGAAACAGCCTTGTTCCTGACGCTCCATTCGCTCTCAACAGAACCACCATCTCCGAATGCAACAGTTATATATACCTAGGTCGAGAAATCAACATGATGAATGACCTGGCACCTGAGTTGCGCAGGAGGAAGAGAGCGGCTTGGAATGCCTTCAAGAGCATTGAAGAAATAACTAAAAGGACAAAGAACCTCCAGCTACGAGCACATCTCTTTGATTCCACTATTCTTCCTGCATTAACATATGCCTCAGAGACCTGGACCCTACGAAAACAGGATGAGAACACTATTCGGGTCTCTCAAAGAGGAATTGAAAGAACTATGCTTGGAATATCACGATTCACTCAAATGAGAGATAGAATCTGGAGTTCTGATCTTCGTCAACGCTCAAGAATCAGGGACGCTGTCTCATTTGCCAAGACATCAAAAATCAGATGGGCTGGACACGTAATGAGGTTTACAGACAACCGCTGGACTAGAGCCATTACTGATTGGATTCCATGAGACATCAAAAGATCACGTGGACGCCCACCTATAAGATGGTCAGACTTCTTCGTCAAGACCCTAAATGATCAGTTTGAGGCTCTACATGTTCCTAAAACGAACAGATACCATTGGGCTACGCTAGCACGCAACCGGGATGAATGGAGACGTTACTGGCACCCGCTCGAATAAATCGATGAATAATGGGGATTAAGTGATTAAGTGATTAAGTGATACATCATTATATACATATATTTATATATTATAAATTTATATATAAATATATGTGTATGTAAATCTATCTATATATATATACACACACATACATGTAGATTTGTCAAGGCCTACATCTTCCCTCAACTGCTTTCCTCACTCATTTGTAACTGTTTCAGAGTAAGCATGTTCAGGGAGAGGGAACTTACCTCATAGTCAATGTCTAGGGCATCCGCCTCGCCTTTGGTCCGGAAGTGCACAGTGTGCTTGTCCACAGTGAAGTTCACCTGTTTGCCGACCCGCTCTAAGAGGACCGAGTGCCAGTGCTGGTCATCCAGGAGGCTGCCCAGGGTGACTGAGGGTGGGCTGCTGCTGAGCCGAGGTTTGCTGTCATCTGTAATGGGGAGAGAAAGAATGGATGGCATCTGTCCCCAAGGGCAGCCTTCCATCCCTGCATATGCCACAAGCCAGAAGATTCCCATAATTTTAAAGGGAAGATTCTGCTCTCTCTGCCAATCCTAAACTCTGCTGGATTTGCATCGGCTACAGATTCCAGGCTTAAGCCTGAGCCAAAGCATTTATATACTTAGTGCTTGAAATAGTATGCCATGTTTTTAGAACTTAAACAGTTAAACGGCAAAACAACCCCGTTTTCCTGTGACCTAATTAATAATACTGAAATATGAGTTTCAGTGTTTGAGACACTTGTTTGAAGACTGAACTTTGGCTAGAAAGTGAACTCAAGATTTGTAAAGAGAAGCTACTGAGCACAATAAATTTGGTCTGTGAGCAAAGGCAAATGTGAGGAAATTTCATTTTAGCTGCATCTTTAAAACGTCTGCTCTATGAATGACACTTATGCAGGAAAGCTCTAACCTCTGTTGACAATCCTCCAGGGGAAAATTAATATTTCCTCTCACAAATCGGGAACCTGATTATAAAGTGAAAAAGTTGCAAACCACAGTGCCCAAAATGAGAGAGAGAGAGAGAGAGAGAGAGAGAGAGAGAGGGAGGGGGGTGGAGTGGGTGTTGCAAACTGGAGACACTGGTGCTGGGAAATGTACACTAGTGAAGGGATGGCTGTTGGAATACTGTATAACTGTAATTAAATAATAAACAGCTTTGTAAAAAATAAAAAATAAATTAGAAAGAAAAGAGAAATGTGTGTTTCTAGTCCTAGGCAACGCACAGCTATTAGGCATGTGCTGGATGGATCTGAGTTCAATTTTAGGTAGCACATAATGCCCAAGTATCAGAGGGTACCCCTCTGGATGCCTCCAGGTATCACTAGTGGTGGTCCTGGTGACCTCCAGAATGGCTGGGGTGGTCTGAGCACCCGTGACAGCACAGGGCTGAGCAGCATTATAGTCCGGAGCTCTTGCCTTGAGCTGATTGATGGGGTTCTCAGGCCTTCAGAGCACGGCATTATTCAGAGGTACAGCTGAGATTTTGATAAAAGTCCACCTAAGTTTTGCTCTTTAATCAAGTATGGAAACTTTTAAAACCACTTTCTATCTTGTAACGACATGCTATATTGAGACTTTTATGTAAAATTTAAATAGTTTGATTCAGTCTTTCAATTACTATGAAAGAACAAAGGACCCTCTACTGAAATGCCAACAGGCCCTCACACTACAGAGTTCCTTCTGAAGTCTTTTGGAAAGATATTACAGAGAATATTTCAGATATATTACAGCTTTCCTTGCTTAAATGCCCACCCCACTTTGAGATTCAGCACTGCTTTTAGCCTGTGAGCACTGACAAGAGTGACTCCTGAGCACAGTGCTGAGTAGCTCTGTGTTAGCTCTGATGAGATACATAGACCTGATGAGTGTGATCTATCTCATGCCCTGAAAGACACTTTTGCCTAGAATAAGAGACAAATAGACTTAATAACCTTTTTTAAAAAAAAATCACCAAAAATGTCCTAACCAAAATTAACTTCCCTGCCTGATTCTTTTAAACTCATCTGTGTGTTGACCCTGTGTCTTGACCTTAGGTCTAATGGTTTTGTTGCTCATCCCAATGATGAGTCCTGGTTTTGAGTAAACACCTTATTTATCATTTTAGATCAATAATTTTTTTAATCATAGGTCCATGTATTTTGATTCAGCCCAAGTCGTACTTGAAAGACACCCCTTGCGAGGATGTGAGGTTTAGGTAGAAAGTTATATTTTCCAGTCAAGTCTGCTAACTTGCCCTAAGCCTCTGTCTCTCAAATTTTTTAAAACTTCAAATGTACATGGACTCTTATCAAAAGAGTTACATTATATATGCTATTGTAATATTATTTTTCCTGCAAAATGGCTAAGATTTAGCAAAATGAGCAATTATTACTTACATGTAAATGTTCAATTTTAAGAAATACTTTATGTACCATGTCCCCTTAGTAACTGAAAGCTAAATGTCTCTCTTCTCTCTCCTAAGATGTGTTTTGCCAGAACAACTGCAACAACCTTTCAACAATATGACATTAAGTGGGCAGGCTCTGCCATTTCCCTTGCAGACTGCCTACTCCCACCTTCATTATGGTTCTACATCACAGCTTCTTTCACTGAATAAGAATTTGTTGCTTCATATGGGGTGAGGGCAGGGACATCAATGTCCTATTCACTGCACTGCAATTGAATATGAGAGCTGGTAAATTCATAGATGACTTTACTTCATTGACTTATTCATTGTTCATTTGCTCCCCATCTTTTGCATTCTTAAAATGTGTTGTGCTAAATAATTGAAATGTTTATTTTTCTTTCTTCCCACTCTTTATTTTTTTCTTTCTTTCAATTTCTCACAAAACAGATACTGATATGCAACAGAGAGAGGTGAAGACTAGAAATACACTCCCCTTTCAGAAAGCCTTAATGTGAAAACTCTGAAAAATGAAATTGACGAAGTGTGCTTGGAGCCAGAAAAGGTATGCAGAAAGCTATGAAATCTCTTTGCAGGGCAGTAAGAGGTCTGATATTGGGTCAGAATAAGTAACATTGTCACACAGCCAGGGCACAAGTTAGACAAAATGGAAGACAGGTTCCACCTAGTAGAGCTCCATGACATTGCCTGCCTTGCTCTTTTGATCCAGTTTCAATGTGCTAAATTGAAGGTAATAAGTTTACTTTGAAATAATGGGAGCCATTGATAAAATAGTGCATGTGAGATTACACATGCAGATTAAGATTTAAGACACTTTATTTTGGCAATTTCATACTTTGGTAAGAAAATGAAAACTGAGGTAAGATTTGCAGTAAAGGAGAGGGTCAAAACAGAGTGTAGCATGATGGAACACATGACGGAAGGATAGACTTCCAAGCAATGATAAGTTATTTATATGTGGTGACCTCACATGTCACTTGGATATTGGAAATGAAGGTAATAAAAGCAAGATTTGCCGAAGAATGACATCTGTGTTTTATTCTTTTATTCTTGAGCAGGTCAAAAGCTATATCCTGAAATGAGATAGCAGGAAATCTCTGTCTCTGCCTGTCTGTCTGTCTGTCTTGCTCACATACACATACTTGCACTCACTATCTCTCTCTCTCACATACACACTAAGACTTTTTTTATCTATACTAAGTAAAACTTGTTCAAACAGTAAAAGCTGGTTGAGGTAGTCTTATCTTCTTATTAACTGTCACTATATAAGTAATAATTTAAATGATTTAATATGAGAGTTTGCATTTTGAATTTGATGTGTGTACTTCATATTTTTCTTATAAGGAGATAAGGAATTTCACAATAATTTTCAGTACTAAGTCCAAAGTAATATATACTTTTTAATTTGAAGTCACTTTAAATCCATACCCTTTCTCCAGTGATTTATTTTATGTACCTAATTTGGTAACATTCCATTATATAGAGTTCTTTTATAAATTATATTTATAAATCTGACAATAATATAACTAACTATAGCTAATAAAACTATGAATTATGTTGCAAAAGACAAGTTGATTTATGATTAGTTCAATATGGGTTAAAATATTTTTATGCATTACCAATCTTACCTTCTTTGTATGTGTTTGTTTATCTTCAAAACTTCCTACTAATAATCACTGTTACTGTCTTTTTTCTACTTTTAAAATGTTGAAAATTTTCCAGAACATCCAAATCAAAAACATTTTATTTTCCCATGATTTAATTTGATGGTGAAATAAAATATATATATTTCTATGTATTTGTCTTAATTTAATCTTTAAGGGTTAAATACAATTGGGGCCTAGAGCGATAGCACAACAGGTAGGGTTTGCCTTGCCCGCAGCCAATCTGCGTTCGATTCCCAGAATTCCATATGGTCCCCCAGCACAGCCAGGAGTGACTCCGGAGTGCAGATCCAGAAGTTACTCCTGTGCACTGCCAGATGCGACCCAAAAAGAAAAAAAAAAAGATTAAACTGTGTTGTGTGAAATAATCCTTATACATTTTGCTATTTAATCCTTAAGGAATAAATATTAAATATATGGGGTTTTTTTTCAATTTTTTTCTTTTTAATTTTATTGAATCACTGGGAGATAGTTACAAGCTTTCATGTTTGGGAGATTAAATATATGTTTATGTATAACCCTTTTCTCATACTTTTATATTTGTCATCCTTTTCTCATTCAGTAAAATAATCTACTGAATAAGATATATAGTGAAATTATTTTTAACTTGTTACCTACTGATATTTGATTTTCTATCTATTAGTAATACTAGTAAAGGAGCGATAGCACAGCAGGTAGGGCCTTACAAGCGGCCAACATGGCCGACCCGAGTTCGATTCCTCTGCCCCTCTCCGAAAGCCCGGCAAGCTACCGAGAGTATTCGATATGCCAGACACAGTAACGACAAAGTCTCCAATGGAGACGTTACTGGGCCCGCTCGAGCAAATCGACGATCAACGGGAGGGCCTTTACCTTTACCTTTAGTAATACTAGAAGCTTATTAAATCTTTTATCTTACTTTTAAATTTAAAAGTCCACTTATAATTTTTCCCTTAAGTCCACTATTTTTAAAATGTCTTTTCTAAAAATTATTTTTCTTTGAGTGGGGTATGCAACTTTCCTAGATATTAAGAAATGTTAATAAATTAAATAACTTGATTTCTTACATTGAGTATATATATATATAGAAGAAGAAATATATGAGTATGTATATATATATGCATTCAGTGCAAGAAATATACACATGTATACTGAGAATATTTAATTACAGAATTTTAAGTAATGAATTTCCCAAATTATGTTCTGGAACCATGTTCTTCTTTTATCCACAGTCACCATTATCAACATCACAGTAATAAATGGGAGAGGAAAAAAGCAGGAAATAGAACCATCAATGGTAATCCCATCATTAGTCTCATCAGGGTGTAAAGTCAGTTCTTCCTCTTCCATGTTTAAAGGGTTAGTTACGGTTATCACTCAA